GTAAATTCATATGCTGCTATTTTTGATTCTGTAGGTGTCATTGCTGTAAGTAATGTAGATTCTCCAACTGATGGAAATCCAACCATTCCTACTCTTGCATCTCCAAATTTTGCTACATCAAACCCTTCTCCTGCAACTTTTTTTTCTGGTGCAAGTAATTCTCGTTGATATTTTGCCATTTTTGCTCTCATCATACAAATATGATGCATAGTAGCTTTATTGACTTGTGTTCTCGATAATTCAAATTTAATATCATCAATCTTTTGTTGTAATGACATGATTTCTACTTTACTTACTTTTATATTATATAGTTCTTTTTATTACTTATTTACTATTATTATTTTTTTATTCTTTAATATTGTTATATATATTAATATTATTTTTATTTAAAATGAATCCAATAAATTAATGTAATATATAACTTGATGGATATATTAATTAATACTATAATACTTTTCAACTTCTTTCTTTATTTAAAGTTAAATCAATACTTTTTTTATTTGATTTTTATATAAAAGAAAAAAAAAAATTCAAAGAAACAAAAAGTGAATTAAGAATTATGGTCTGTAATTGTAATCAACATCATGAGAACAAGCAGTCATATCACCATTGTATTGTTTCATATAAGGAGAAGTCCATCCACCAAATGATTTAAAGTCTGAGAATGTTTTCTTACCATCATAATGTGGATACCAAATTGGCCAACTTCCAGCTCTACTGAATTTATAGTCTAAACCAACAATATCTTCCCAATTATAATAGGAAGCATAAATTCCAGATTTAATACCAATAGCAGCAGCTTCATTAGTAAGACTTTCAAAGAATTTTCTATTACTTGATTTAGAAGAAGACCATTTACCTTCAATATCAAACCATAATCTTTCGAATTTAAGTTTTTTAGAAGTAACTTGATTCCAGAATGATTTTACTTGTCCTGCAGGATCTCCACATGAATAACATGGATAGAAATAAGCATCAATATTCTTTGCACTAAATCCAGCAGCAAGAGCATTTTCATTAATTGATTTAGCATTTGGATCAAATGATCCAAGACTTCTCCAAGCTCTAAAGATGAAGAAGGAATTAAATCCAAGATTTCTTAAACATTGAATTGATGATGTTGAAATAGATTCAGCAATATCAACACCATAAGAAGCTGCATGTGCAGTAAGTATAATTGCTGCAAAGATAAATAACATTAATTTTAATAAGAACTTTTTTAGGAGTATTTAAAGGAATAAAAAAAATTATTTTAATATAATATTTCATAGTTATTTATTCTATTTCTTATTCTTTGATAATAAAAATAAAAATAATCATTTGAAAATTAAATTCAATTTAATTTTTCTTAGAATAATTTGGAAGATTTAATTTTTACTATTTAATTCATTAATTAAAATTAATAAATGTTTTTTTAAAGTTTTTATAAAGATTATTCATCTAAATTAAAAATAGAAAAAACTAATT